TCAATTCATCTTACATTTTCATGTATATTTTTGTCAAGGTCTATCTTTTTCTATATTATTTTTAAGTATAGATATTTCTACAAATGGAAAAAACCAGCACAGAAAAAGAGAATACTATATCTTAATTATAAGTTGATCGTTTCACATAACATTGTATTAACTCATATGAATAATAATGTCATAGTAGGACGTAATTGTCTACGTAGTCTCTGTAGAAATGGTTTTTTTTAGAAAGATCCAGAGTATAGTAAACTGTTTAAGTGAAAAACTCAGAAAAAAGTCAAAGATGTCCACAAATTATCATAGATATGTTCAAGCGTTCGTTATTCTCAATAATATTCGTATATAATAAATTGAGAATGTTTCGTTTAGATAGTGTCCTGTAGGAAAACAAGTTTTGGTATAACTATTTATCGAATGTTAGATTAATGTGTCATACTTTGAAAATATTGTTTCGTCACAAAGATATTATCAAATAAAAATTAATTGTGTTTCTTTTGATTTTTTTTTCTGAGTATTTTTACTTAACAAAGAAATACAATAATAAGAATAATAATGATTATGACTTGATTTGGATAGGAAGTAGTAAATCTTCGATATTGATGAGAAAAAGTATAAAACGGCGCAAAAGATTGGTGAATTATTACTTGAATGATCACTGTTCAATAATAAAATACACTAAAATGTACTATTCTTTTTCTCCCTTCAACACGTAGTATAAATTCATTCTATTGTTTGACTTTCATCACATTCATTTATTTTTATTCAATACTTTTCATAATTCATATTTGAAAAAGATTATTCTAATTATATTTAACTCACTATGTAAGCACTGTGATAGATATCAAAATCTAACAAAAACAAATATATTATCATAGCAAACTATAATTATCAAGTATTCATAGTTGTATTACGTCATACGTATTCAATGCTGTAAAATGTTCAACTATTTATCTCGTAATTTTAAGATGTAGCATAATAATCGATAATTAAACCAAAGGGTAACATTTTCGAAAATTGGTAGTTCTGTTTTTCTATGGTGTTTTACACTCATACAGTCAAATTATCTACCATATGATTACAACTATACACGAGGAAAAAAATCGTAGCTTGTTTCAATTTATATTGACGGAACACTGGTGATTATTTTTTGATAATATAATTCATGTAGCTGTAACAGTCAAAACATTCGATCTTCTCATAAATAAACTATGGTCACCAAGTCTTTTTATGATAGACATAATTTATTAAGGTCTACCCTCTCAATTATTTTTACACATTAACATGTTCTCTCATATCACAATATATTATACATCATTGAAAAGGTCATTCAAAACTGAACAAAACGGTGTATCTGAAGTTTTTTAAGTCCCTCTTTTTGAAAAAAAAAGTTTTGGTAAACATGAATAACTTTTTATTATTATTATGTTGCCGGAAAAAATAGTCAATTTTTTTTTTGACGATCTTTGTTAGAACTAAGTTTTTGAGGCAAAGATCTACTTTGAGAATGGAGCTTTTGTTTACAAATAGAACTTGAAATTCTTTATCGATTGGTCAATTTTTTTCATTTTAATGCAAATCTCTTGGTTACAAAATTCGAAATACTATAAAGCACTAAAACTTAGTTTCGCTCGAAAACTACATCATATAGTCGGCTTCTCTTACTATCTATATCACTATCTGAATCAGATCAGTATCTCTTCATGTAAAAGAAAATTGAAAGAGAAAAACTCACTTAACATTTTGACGTCGACTATATTTTAATAGATACTTACCTCCCCTGTTATGTTGAGTGTTTCGGGCATCGTAAATTACACGTGCTTGTTGTAATGCAAAGACAAATTCACTGTGTCTTGACTTGCTTTTACATATAATAAGAAAGCAAAACCGTTATTAACCAATTGCCTGTTTGTTGACCTTTGAAATCGATAGAAGGCTATAGTAAGGATTAAGCATATATTCAACAGAACCATCCAATGCAAAAAAGTGTTAGGTACTTAAGCCAATCTGCAAAGTGCCTCCATATTTTCCAAGTTACGAAAAATATATTTATTCATAAGTAACAAAACTGCAGAACTCACAAGCCAAATGACTTATTGAATTCTTATACAGTAGCCAAACATTGAAAAATCAAAAGATGTCACTATGAACACCGAGTCGAACATTATGGAACATCTATTCAGCGTTAGTAATTCTAGGCATATTCTACCACATAGGCTTTTATAGAAAAAAAAATAAAACTTTGTTTCAAAAATAATTTTGTTTCTTTTAACGAAAAATATAAATTTAACTTACTCTATTTTTAATTCCAAACCTATAACTTAGATATATATGAGCAAAATCAGCCAAAGTGGTACAATTTTTTTTTATGAAAGTCTAAATCGAGGTCGCTAAAGTCTAGTGTAGTTATAAACTATGGTCGACAGTTTATAAAGAATGATGTCTGTTTTTCGTTTTAGAGATTTCAAAAACAAGAACAATCTTTGTTACTAAAACGGTCGCTATATTATGCAACTTCGCCTGCTTTTTTTCTGTAAAAAAAAACAGAAAAATTTCATTTAAGACCTTTTCTTAGTAATCAGATTTTCTAGAAATCTGTAAAATAGGTTTTTAATGTCATTTACGAAAGAACATACATTGAAAAATAAGAGTCATAAATTTCACGGTAAATGAATAAACAACTACAGAGAAATGAAAGGATAAAAAATACTCCATTCGTACCCTGTTACATGGCGAACAACGAATAAGCTCAATTTTTATTTAGTTCAAAATATACTGCCTCCTAACAGTACTTTTTTAGTGATAAATCTTTCGAACAAAGGTCTTCAGGGTTGATTTTTTTAGGGTATCTAAAGTAACTTAATACACATATTTCTTATAAAAATCAGCTCTCGGGAAATTCATTATCCAGAAATATAGGTATTTTAATATTGCCAAGTCATATCGCTAACGAACGCTTTTGCCCATATAAATTCTAATCTCTTTTTAAAAATATCATCAAAACAATATAACACTTTATCACAAAGTCACAAGACTCAGTATAACACACAATAGCAAAGCAACACATACCTCATCCATAGGTGCTAGTAATACAAAAGACATTGCTCGCCAAACAGTCACACAAAAAACACGAACGCTATAAAATATCTTCGAACCCAAGCCATCGAGTAATTATAGTTATTCGAAATAAGATCAAATGGTATAGAATTGACTTCTGCATCGAATGACATCGCACAGGAATGCACAAAATTCGTTTCAACGATACTGCATCTAACATAGGATTGGTATGATGTTAAAGAAAAGCATTTTCTTTAACATGATCCAAGTATATTATCTGTGTTTCCATATAAATTCGTCTGATGCAGAGTTGAATTCTATATTAAAAATCGATGTGCAGCTACCGCAGCAAGCAATAGAAAGAAGAGCGCAGATTTTAGTTCCTACCCGCCAAAAATATCAATTCTTTTCGTTAGTTACTTGCAAAAAAGAAACTCAAAGATATCTTGATACATTCAGCTTTCTTGAAAGATCTCAGTGTTAAATATTGCACGATCTGCAAAGCTCTTGCTAGATGAACAGTCTTGAGTTTACATTTAAATACAATGACATACTGCTTTAAAATCGTCCACAAACTGCAAAAATAAACAGTCTTTTTTCTACACATTCTCAATATAAATCAATATTTATCAAAAGTTTTTTCTTTTTTTTATTACTCTTCATCGGTTACTTTTAACAACATAGTCTTTATATTAAATTCATTTTTCACAACATTACTGATAGTCGATGAAGTTTTAATTTACTATAATAAATTTTGATTTAAAATCACGTATAATCGATTGCTTCGATCGTATTTAATCAAATACTATTTTTGAGAAAGAAAAAACCAATAATACTGAATATTCAAATAGCTTCTATTCACGTGAAAGCAGGTTTGAGATAAGAGTAAGAGAAACGATGACGGTGACTCACTAAAACATATTCATCCATCATATATGGCGATTTCTTACCATCGAAATATTTTTCATGAAATATCTATCTGCTTTTGTATCTGGTAAAATTTATATAACTTCGCATGTTTAGGTTCTTAGTGGATGTCACCAGAGAGAGCAAAACCCTTTCTATATTTGTTCTTCTTCATGGGTCGCACAGCAATGTTTGCATCTTTGCCTTTTCTTTCTTTATCAAACATCGCTTATATACGTTAACGTTCGCTCACATCACCACTTTATCTCTTTGTATAAACTACATGCACATCTCACTATCTTCATCGAAAATCCTGTTTGTCGACCGCTAGCATTTATACGATAGACACCCGTTTTCTTCTATTCATTTGAAGGTAAGCAGGCCAGTGAGATAGAATTTCACCCTTCGATGATGTCGTACTCTTGTTTGTTCATCGCATCTGTTCGAATTCTAAACTACTTCTCCGACTGTTATTTCGTTTTGCCATCCATCCATCTTCGTCTGCTACTCTGCTTTGTTCAGAATCCACTATCTGCGATACATTTGTTGGCCTCAATCACAGAAAGAGTCTAACGATGTTGAATGAAGGAGTGAGCACCTAATCTTGATTTCTTACTTGTTTTTATTTTAGTCAGTTTGAGAGCTCTTCTTTAACAGTATGGGTGATGAAAGAAAACACGGTTACTTATACCCTCACACCAGACACGCAAAACTAAATTCGAAATAGAATCTTATTAAATCTTACCAATACAAGAGAGATTTTATAAGAGACGATGATTCAATTTCCATACATAAGAACTTTTGTCATTGATTATCCACCTTTTTGATAAGGAAAAAAATAGCGTATTTCAGAATCAGTTTCGTCATCGCATTACATTCATATTAGAAGTTTTCAGTTGATATTTAATAAAAATAATTTGTTTTATTTATGTATGATGTGATCGTTACTTTTCCATGTTTTGATAGGTGATAAAAGATATATGAACATGTTGAAGTTACTATCATTAAAATTTACAATTTTTATCCTTTCGATCCGCATGTCTACGGTAACATGTGACTCTCCAATGCTATGGCTTCATGTTGTTCAACCAAATTTGACAGCAGGTAACGGGCTTCTCACTTTCTATTTAGTTCATGACAATTAGAGTCCAACAAGGAATTTCTCTGCAGTTTTTAGCAGTTGCTTAATTGTTTTACTTTCAGTGAAAAAATTACTTCTTCCTTGAAAGAGCTTCGAATGAAATCCGACACTCTTTCGAATTGTCTGACACATATACAAAAGATAGAAAAGTGCAAAATCATATCAGAGTCAAATGATTATAAAACGATCAATAATTGATTGCTTCTCTGTCGAGAGTATCGATCTGCATCAATATCAGTTAAAAATCTAATCTGTTTACTATCATCATGTGTGAGGCGTTTATTTAAAAGAATATTTAAAAAAAAAACCTTTTATGTCTTACTTTGTTATTTTCTTGTGTAAAGGTCATTATGGATATATTGCTGACGAATATGAACGTCATGTTATATTACGCGGTGTTGACGTTGAAACCGAACAAAGAAATATTCCTGCTGATCAAGACAGACCAATTGATCCTTCATTATATAATGGTCAATGTCCATCTAATATACATGTTTATCAAGAACCTCCTACATGTGAAATAGATTATGGCAAAGGAATGTATAATATCAATGATGAATGGAATAGTCATAATGACTTTGCTCAAATAAGAAGATGGGGGTTTGTGTTTTAACTTATTAAACAAAATAATAACTTTCTGTTTTTTCTTATTTTATAGCTTTAATGTTATTCGATTATGTTTAAGTTGGAATGCATTAGAACCAACACCGGGAAATTATAGTGAAATGTATTTACAACGTGTTGAACAGGTATTTTTATTCTGGTACTAAAACTAAGATAATTTATACAATGCATTTGGTATTTGTAGATTGTTGAATGGGCATCAGAACAACAAGTCTATGTTATACTTGATATGCATGAAGATTTATATTCTCGTTATATATTTGGTGATAAAGAACATGAAATTCCACCTTATTTAACAGCATCCGATGGACAAGATGGTGCTCCTCAATGGGCAGTTATGACTGATGGTTGGCCTGCATTAGCATTCTTTGGTATTGGAAATTTAAATTTAGCAATGATGAAAGCATTTGATAATTTTTATAATAATTCTATACCATCGAATGCTACACAAGGAGATGCACCTGGACCAGGTTTACAAGATCATTATATTGGAGCTATTGCATTTTTAGCAAAAAAATTTGTTAATAATAGTGCAGTTTTAGGATATGAGGTACTTATCATGTATTCTATTTTCATTCAAAATTTCATGATGCCATTTCAGTCCTGTGTAGATGCTGATATTGATATCAGATTCGATGCGTTGAACTGAAACGTAAAGCATTTTGTAGATTTTTGCATAGGGCTCTCCAATCTATTCTTAGGTAATTCATTATCAATGAAAAAGATTTTTCTTCGATTTTTTTATGCGAAACTTTTCGAAATCATTTTTTAAAAATGAATTTCTATGATTAGTGTTCGGTGATTTCAGAAAGTCTTGCAGAGTTTAACGAAAATGAAAGTTATAACGCTGTTTTCATCTAATATGAAATAATGTTCAGAATTTACTAAAAAAAAACATGAAGACGAGTTGAAAACTTCAGAATGGGGCTATTTCGGAAAGTCATATAATTTTTTAATCAAATTTTCTAGATCTCTTATAAGTAAAGCTTTTGCTTAAAATAGATGCTTTAAGTCTTAGCTATCGAATGCTGAAAACAGCAAGTCTCTTCCACTTTTTGTTCTCGAGATATTAAAATATAACAAAAAACGTTTATCTCATCACTTATTGTTGAACATGCATCACCAGAGTTGTTAAGATCCCAATGACAGTATAATTTTGAGTGTTAATACTTTTGAAACAGTAATGATCATATTTCTAAATAAACTTGAATGTTCTCTCTCTGTCATTCAGATATGTACTTACTTTTGCTTTGACTGTTCTAAAGTAACCCAGACCAAATATATAGTCCGTCTACTGTGTATAATGAGCTGAGTAAGGAGATTGCTTTGAGTAAATGCGGAAGATATGATAGAAATATATAAAACAATGAATACTTGTGCGAACGGCATATATTCAATTATTATTCCTGCCTCCTATATTTGTAAAAAAATGGACTTCGCGTTAAAAACAATCGGACTGAAAACTAACACCCGCCGGTGTTCATCATTATATGATCTTTAGTAATACAATTATTGACGCTATTTAAACAGTAAAAGAAACAAAGATCACATATGTAATATTGAATTCCTGTATCGGATACTGCAATAATTGTATTCTAGTTCTAATTTTTGTCTCATAGAAAACAAGTTTCATATATTTGTATTGAAGTCATATAGAAGTTTTGACTAAAAGTACTCAAGCTTTGATCGTATATATTTCATTTATTCTAAAACTTATCGTGTTTGGATTTCACATATGTTTTTACAAGACCAAACGATTCACTAAGATATTGTGTTTGTAAATGTTGATCAACTCACAGTTTTATGAACAGATATTCAAAATAGTTTACTAATAACTCTCTATCTTTTCTTTCTCTCTATTTATAAATGAATAGACTCAGAAAGAAACATTAAACACGTTCGGTGTTAAAACAAAATTCAAACACTTTAATAACTGGAACACTATTCTATTTTTTATTATAATAAGTAGACTTCTCTTTTTAACTGTCAATCTGGATTGTGAATGCTATTGTAGGGCCTTATAATGACCTAATATTCTTTTCTTGAAGTAAACTTAGTAATAATAACATTATTTATTTGTTTGTGTTAAATAGATCATGAATGAACCACAACCTGGCACATATATTGATCAGTATACTTTTTCAAGTGATTATTTATATCCGTTTTATAAACGTGTTATACAAGCTATAACTGGTGTTCGTGATAATTTACCCGATTGTCCAAAACATGCTCCAACAGGAACAAATTGTGCTTATCCAAATTTAGGAATCAATGATAAAAGACATTTATTTTTTGTTGAACCAACTTCAGTTCGAAATTTATTGGACTTTACTCCGCAACATTCAATACCATTTTCATCCTATACAAATATTGTCTATGCTCCTCATGTTTATACACATGTATTCACAATCGATAGTATATTACATTTAAATCGATCATTTTATCCACCATCATTTGAGTATGTTTTTTGCTAGAATAGAATTTTTATGCTCAAAAAAGAAAACAATTACCCCATTTGATTAAAACAAGTGGGGAAGACAATCGAGTTTTCCAGCTTGGAGTTATTGATGAATCACCCTGTACAGTTTGTTATATGAATAAGCACGTAGATCCATGAAATATTTTTTCAAAATAATTTAGCTGCCATAAGTCAGAGAGTCAAGATGAGTTCATGTTGATTTAACTGTACGGTCTAATGATGGACGATTGAATTTGATCACATGTAAGTCAAAAATTCAATAGATGTTAACTTTTGCTGACTGTTTTCATCGACTAGCAAGCTTCTGACGCTATCGCGCAAATACCATGACATTTCCATCAACTTTCATATGGTATTTGTTTTCTATGAAGACTCTGCCATTACAATTGATTCCTTAATACATTCTCAACTCAAAAATATAGAAAGAATAATTTCTTTTGATTTGTTATCTATTCACAAAATATCTGCAAGCATGAAATAAAAACATTTTTAATATTTTTCTAGTTATGCATATGAAACAGCATTAAATGAATCTGTTGGTTTACAAAGTGCAATTCTAGTTACAGAATTTGGTTGTGGTGCAGATGCCGATGAAACATTATTAATTCCAACAATAGATTCACAAGATAAAGCAATGATATCAGCGACAATATGGCCATGGAAAAACAATTGTTTTCAAGAAGGTTGTGAAACAAGTTGGAGTTTATACGACTCAGGTACACTTAATGATACAGTTGCAAATCAAAATGGTCCTGAACGTCCAAATCGTGTTCGATTATTATCTCGTGTACATCCACGTGGTGTTATTGGACAATTAATACAATATTTTTACAATACAACAACATCATCCTTTATAATGACTGCCAAGTGTAATAATAAAACATTATTATTATCGAATAATGAAACAATAATTTATATACCGAGACGATTAAATAGTTCAGTAATTAATGTTACTGGTGAAGCTACAATAAAGAAAATAATTAAAAATCCAGATCAAAGTCGTTTAGTTCTTGTAAATCCAACATGTAATGGACAATATCATATATTTGTTGCAAATAATACTAATCAAATTGGCGAATTATATCAAAAAACAGTCATCAATGGTAAGTCTAATATTGAACCAAAAAATGGTCATGAAACAATACAATCGATGAAAAAAGCCTACGAATTATTTCAACATTTACATGCTGCTGCTGTCAAAACTGGTGAAACATTTGTTGCAACATCTTCCAATTTTGTAAACAAGGTAAATATATCGACCATTAACCATTGGATTGTAGAGGTCAATTATTTCCTAATATTTTCTCATTTCAAATTGATGAAAACAGTTTCTAAAGAATTTCTTTAAGAAAAATTTAACATATTTATCATAATCAAATATATGTATTGCGCCATAAGAGTGAAAAAGATGTTTGAAACTTTAGCCTTAAATCCGAAATTTATGAAAGTAGGAGCACGCTGTCATCTCTTCTGACTGTCTAAACAATCCATGTTGATTGAAGATTTAATTATACGACAATTTTGAGAACAAGAAACTTCAATATTTTCACGTAAAGAAAGGTCTGATCAGAAAACGTAGATTTTATCTATTAAATCACCAATTCGAACAATTATAATCGACAAATATAATAGAGTCCTATGGAACGTTTACATCGATAACACACTTTTTGTGTGGATTTCTTGTTGAGCCTTATATTGCTGTTATTTCTTTTCGAATAGTTTTCAAATTCTTTTTCTAAAGGTATTGAGGGTTATAAATGAGATTGTGGGCGTTGATGAACGTGTTCGTGTGTTTTGAGAGAAAAATTACACCCATATCTAAATTCTTATGATTTTTAAAGTAAAAAGTTTTGTTAGATATTCTGATGATGTAAAAAATTTCTGAAAATATTTCCCGTCATCACTTTGATGTTATTAAGAAAGGTTTCGTCGTAGATTTTTTTTGGTCGTTAAAAGGTTGAAGTTTTTAGACTGAACGCCCCATAGTTCAATCAATTACGTTTTAATTATAGACCGACTTACATTTATGACATAAAAGTCGAAGTTGAGCTTTATTTTGTTCATTGACAATTAATATTCTGTCATCAAAATGTCCTGTTACATGGAATAGAATTCGTACGACAGATAAACATCATGTTTCAATAACTTTCTTGACTAGTTTACATACAAACAATAGAGTACTTGTTGATGTTAATATTCTTAAACATATATGGAATGACTGAACCAAAGTTTTTCACGTTATTGAGACTCAATTTGAAAGAGGATGCTTTTAGAGTTTATTTATCTATAGTTATTGTCTTTGTACGAATCAAAGCTATGCAATTGATTGACGAAGAAGAATGCCAGTTCGTTTTTGTTTGAGAAATTTCTCTGAATTAGTACTATATTATACAGATAGCGTTTTACTCTAATAGAGATGGTAAGATGGTTTTAAAATTAAAGGTTTCGAAAATGAGAGGAATTTTTCTGCACAATTCTCAATAAAAACAAAAAGGATTTATATGGACTAATAATTATGTTTGTTTGTTTAATTTAGTTTACAGCACTACAAAATGCTGTTGAAATCAATATAAAACATATAATGCCACTGTTGAACAAATTTCGTAAGCAAGCTTAAAGTTTGTTATTTTTATTGTAATTCTTAAATAAAAAAAACATTTGATTCATTTTCGATACGTCGACTCTTCTGCGAACGTTTGTCCTAACTAATACCTTACTCTATCCCTGCATTCTCATCTTCTATTATTATCGAGTGAATTTCCAGTGCTCAATCCAGTAAATAATTGAGTTTTCAGTTAAACTAACCTGTCTTCGTAAAATAGTTATACTAAAGCATATGTTCTGCTGTTTTATGCCTCTCTTAATTTGCTGTTTTTTTATTTTATGTAGTTCGTTTATTTGAAAATTTTTAAATGTACATTATAGGATACAGAGTTTTATGTAAACTTTTGTAACATCTTTTAAATTTTAGCAGAACCCTAATAAAATGCTTTTCATTATTTGTGATTTTTACATTGAACTGATTAAATCGATCCTAGGGTGTGGGTTACTTATCGACGATTTCTTCGAACTATATTTCCATTTTTTCTATATATAAAACGTACGACAAGCTACTTACTCGATAAAAACTAACACAAACATATGGAAGAAAGTTTCATGTCTACTAAGCGATAATCATTCTCTACTAATATCTGATCGACACATGCGACAGTTTAATAGGATCGCTGATTTTTCTATAAATTTTATTAATATCTTTGACTTTTAGTTACAAGATAATGGGGAGTTTTTTCTTGGAAAGAAAACTTGTCATAGTAACTCTTGGCGGACTTCAGTTCAGAATACATATCACGGGATAACTAGAAAAAATTTATTGTATGGGTGATTACATGTCAATATATTCTATAGCCGAAGTCCGAGTGACTTGAATGCTTCTCAACATATATTCATTTGCAATTGTACTAAACCGGGGAACATTGGAAAGATATTGCGAATGTTAGTGGTCGCATTCATAAACTACAATATTGAGTTTCGATCAAAGCATGATTCGCTCAAAACCGATATAATTCTTGAAGTATAGAATTATATGAAAAGATTATTTGGTCTACAACTGTTGAATGTAATTATCGTCTAGATAATGTGGTTGTGCGAGTCCTCATGTAGCAAAGATAACTGATGTGTTCAAAGCTTTCCTCAAAGTCAACTATATACTGTCATTCTTTGAGTATTTCATAGTATCATACACAGATCACTTTAACAAAACTATTCTTACATTCACGCCTAATATATTTGCATTGACTTCATTACTCGACAGCTTGTAATATCAATGTTGACAGTTTGGGATAGCATAGTTTTTAATCAAATCAATACTTTGTTTTTCATAAACGAAGATATGTATTTAAGAAATGCTTTTCGTCATATTCATTTGATATAAGATATCGATCATGTGCATTTTTTTGAAATTGAAGAGTGTGTGTGACTGTCGACGTGAATGAGAAAGAGGAGGAGAACGCCAACACTCACATCTACATCTTGTCACTTTTAAGGTTTTATATGCTCGCTCTAATGCCGTTCTATCGTCATCGTCATTGTCCACGAATGTTGTCTATTCATTCGTGAGTAACAAAACGTGCAGGCCGCATATACTATATTTCGAGCTTATTTACGTTGAACTACAAACCATATATATTCAAAAATGTAAGGATATGTGAATGAGTTTTAGTGGGTGTCTTGTCTTCAACCATAGTCATACCAGAATAGTGCAGAAACAGAGAGTAGAACGACTATGTAATTTGCAGCAACAATATACTACAAGTGCTATCGGTGCTCCAAAGACAGTCGCAACTAATATAATAGCTAGTATTCTCAATAACAAGTCTGCAAGAAGGAGAAAATATATATAAAGACCTCGATCGTAATCGGGCAAAGTTTTTGAGCCAATATTGTCATCATGTATTTTTTGTGCTGCGTATATTGTCATCACGACCATGACGATTATGGAAACTATGCCACTTATAATGAATAAATATAACTTGCCAAACTATTGAATGATCATTTTCAAGCGATGTTTCCTCAGCTTTCCTCATTGCACAAGTCCCAGCTACTAATATTTTTCCATATTGAACTCTTCCAAAGAATATCAGAAGAAGCAAAATTTCATAAAAAAATCCGATCGAAATCTCAAATCGGGTGAAAGAAATAGGAGTAAGAAAAACTGTTCGGTTATTGCTGCATGAATCAAGATCATACACAAAACACTTGCACACCCAATACCTGCAGCGCGACAACAGTGTTCCAAAATGAATTCATGACCCAATTATACTACCAAAGTGGGAGTTAAGTGCAGAAGAGATTTCAAACAAAAGAAAATCCATGCAAAAATGATGAAGTTGTTAGAACTGAGCAATTATTTCAAATATGCAACTAATTCGCTGACTTCGATCGGAAAGCACAGTAGCTCTTGAAGTTTGGACTAGAGCAAACTGAATTGGAAATTTGAATCATATCCCATACCAAAGAAAATATAGAAAAAGTACCTTTGATATTCTTTATCAAATGAGGCCTCATGCCTAATAGAGTAGATAGGAAATATTTGGAAAGAGTGTAGGTGTATGTGAAGAGAAGACACACACCCATATTCCTTTTTATTTAATAAAAGCTCATTAAATGAATATATCAAAAATAGAAACGAATGTATCATATCAAGAAAAAGACAAAACACACGTTCCATAAACAACAAAAGTGTGGGTGTGACTGAAGAGAAGACTCATCTTCGCTCCCAACACCCAAGTGAAGCACCCACAGCTATTTGTCAAGTGTTATTTCACATGAACTCTGCTCGACTTTTCTCAAAAAATGACTCTGTCGCCATATCAAATATTATACATTATACTTACTGTTAATCATATCACATTTCATGATTCAGGATAAGAATATAGTTTGTTTTCTTGCTCATTTTATATTTGGAAAAGGTATCATGCTTCCTCTTTATTTTCCACGTGAACGGATTCATTACCGAATCATC